GGGGGTAGGCTGGGGGTGGGGGAGGAGGGATGGGGGTGAGGGGAGGGAGGAGGGACTTACATGTGAAACAAGCTTGGTCCCTAACTAGAACTAATAATAATAAAAAAAATATGATCTGCAAATTATATAATGCTAATAAAATTTGTTTATATTCCCTATGCAAATTATTGCAAATTCAAAAGCATGCTATAGGAGGTTCAAATATGCTACAGGTAGCTACAAAGACTAATAATGAGAGGTAATTGGCATTTGGGGAATTAAGGAGTGCCTCAAAAGAAATAGAAAACACAATCCATGACCTACAGGAATTTAGCAAGATAGTCTGTGACCTAAAACATTCACAAAATAAACAGGTAAAGCAATTTGCCAAACAATGTACCTTCTTACTTTACTGAAGAACTATTTAAATAGTTAAAGGAGTTCAAAGATAGCAAAGAAATATAATAAAGACAACCTTTACATAATTACACTAAATGTCACGATATAAACTATCACTATCTATCTCAATAAAATAAATAAAAGGAAAACTAAGCCAGGAAAAACAGGCTTTTAGCTTTGTACCTAAATAGAGAAGCTCGGGCAATCCACATAAAGGACTTCTTTGACATTCTCCTGATAAAAGCAGTTAAAAACCTTACAGAGATGTCTATAAGAACAAACAATTAAAAACAACCTAAAAGTTTAACATCATAGAAATATCTGAAATTATGGTACATAAACAGAATGAATATAATCATTTACAATAATTAAAACAAATGTCTTATTCTACAACTTTTAAAAAGAACATAAAATTAGATAACTACAACTAGTAAAAGTACATTTGATTAAGGAATAAAAAGGTCAATTGTGAAAATGAGAATAGCTGCCTCAGTTGCAGATTATGGTAATTCTCTTTAATAAGACCTTAATGTAACACTGTTGCCAATAAACAAACACTTATTTAAAAAGAACCACTCTTTTTTACAGGAGTTATTCTACTCATCTCACCACAGACTGCAGTCAATGTGTTCTTTATCAATCAGGACTAACTATTATCAACCAGTTCCTACTAATGACTCAAACTTTCTTACTTTCTAAGCAAAATAATAATCCCATTTACAGACAACCTCCACTCCAACTTCACTCCCACCCCTAAAAGTAACATCACATTTTGCACACCAATACTACAAACCTCTAACAATGTTTCTCACAGTATTTTCTGAGTCCCTTCCCCACCAGGGAATCATGACCAGTCTCTAGAAACAGGCAAGTCATAAGTTAAAGCACATATAAGGAGAGGATGTCCATTTTTATGACATCCCTTGAATGGTGTTTGTATAGGTTGAAATAAAAGAGAAATTTTATTTTTTAATAACATCTGGAGCACTAAAGTCCGTAGAAAATTAACCAACAAATTCCACAATGTCAGCTAGCTTCATAATAACTAACTGTATAACAAAGTATTCTAAACTAACAAAAGGACACCATCTCTCTACATTACAAAACAAAAGCTAATTAATATCAGGTCCAAGAAGGCAATTTTATCTACTATTTCCTAATCATACGACACTACACATTACCCTCCAATCACAAACTGATAACCTCATCAACTCAATACTGTAAATCTACCTGGATATGCATAAACTATGTATTACTTACTTCCGTTTTTTTGCTTTAATAGGCTCATCTTCATTCATTTCTTCCATTAATTCTTGTTCTTCTTTAACTGTAAGATAAAAATTAGTTAAAAGACTGAATAAACATAAAAGGCAACTACTGAATTTTCAACCACTGATTCTTCTGCAAATGACTATCAGAATATTCACTTTAATGCATGAAAAAGCTGCCATTTACAGTCATTTCACTCACTTGCACTCATCGAGAACTGCCACTTTTGGATGGACAGCATTGTTGGAGCCGGGTGCCCTAGCAAAGACATTTCAAACACTGTTATCAACAGTTGCATGCACATATTCACAACCTTTAAAAATGTTCACAAGCTTTAAGAAAAAAAGCACTCTTTTATCAAACACTAAGCTAAGTAAGAAAATTCTATACTATTATTTATCTTCTCTTCACATTAATTTACTTTAATGTTTCCTACCTGGCCCTCAACTTAAAAATGTTCAAGTAAAACTTCCCAGTTTGAATTTTACAAATAAATAAAAATCCCAATTCATAATTCATAGAACCTTTTTGGATGCATATTATCCAATAAATCTGACTCAAATATGAAGAAAATATTCCAAAAAAAAAACCAAAAAAACAAAAGGAAAGGAAACTGCATATTTTCTTGGCATCATTCACTGCTGATTGTAAATATCACCATCATGCCTATAAAGTAAATACTGCTGAAGCTGAAAAGAAAATGGCACCAGATAGGTAGTTACACTTCAGAGCACAAATGCCAAATTTTATATATATAAACACACACACACACACACACACACACACACACACACA